TATTTAAGAAAACGTTACTTTTTTAGTAAGGACTCTTTTCATTTGACGTTACACAACTTGGGTGGTCGGATATTTATGGTAGGTGAGTGTAGATGCTTATTCAAGAAATTTATTATCAAGTGTCAAAATCTCGGACGGCGTGGTTATTTTCGGTTATTTTTTTTTTTTTGTTAGAATATTATTTTTTGTAATTGTTATTTTCCTAAACATGATAGTAAAATCCCAAGTTACAAAATGATATGATTATTTGTGTCTTTATTGTGCGTTTAAAAGTGCGATTGTGTAGTGTATATATTTATAATTTAGTAATATAGTAATATTGTACAATGTATAATTTACTATGATACATCCCCTGGTAGAACTCTCCATAGTTGGCTCGGTCTAAAACCTCTAAATTTTGGGCAAATTTTAAAAATATAGAAGTCACTTTCTGTCCTACCTTTTAAAAAAATAGCGTCACTAGCTGATAGTATATGCATTTAATTTTAATGTAATGACGAGATATTCTCAAAAAATTATTTGTTGTAGAGTTCTTTTCTTTTTTAAAACATGTACTTTTACTATGCTCACGAGGAATTTCTAACTTAGAAAAATTATTACTAATTTTAGACTAGATTTTGACCATCATATCTAAATTTGGCAGTAAAATCACGTGTAGTCTTATTTTTTTGAAAAAAATTTATTACGAATTACAAAATTGCTATTACTATTTTTTTGAAATTTGACCATACAACGCAGCAATAAGGGTCTTTAGACCGAGACAACCATAATAATAATAATAATTATATGAACGACACAGACCAAGTGATGATTTTCTTGCTAACCCCCAATTACAATTCTATTTTTCTTTCCATCGCACAATAAATGACGCGACTCTATATATATTCTTAAGAAGGAAAATTTTTGCCAAAATAATCCCAGTTTTATAAATAAGGTTTTCTAACAAAAAACGGGTATCTACCATTTATGGTTCCAATAAACCTTTTCCAACAAAATTAAAATTAGAACGTGGGAGTGGTTTCCAATGATGAAATTCACACACAAATAAATTTCATTGGCTAATCGAAGATCATAGATATGTAAAAGAAAAAAAAAATTATCATTGCATATAATAGTAGTATATTATTATCTAATATATTGGAACAAACATCAACAGATCGTTTAATAGATCCATAAAAAGAAAAAGTAATTGCATACATATTATTTATTATCTAAAAATTTTTAACTAATAAATAATAACTAATAAATAATATCTATTTGTAAGAAGATTTGGGGTGTTTTTTTTTGAAAAAGGGAAAGGAAATAATTAATGCAACTCTTCCTGATTGTACGCCACAAAGTTGTTTAACATTAACAGAGAGAAAAAACAACACCATTAAATAATTTTTCTAAAATAAATAAATAATAAATAATAACGAACGGTCTCGTAACAATTC